ACAACTCGAAGGCAAACAACAACACCACAGCACCAGTCAACCACCCAATTCTTGTTCCCCTCCCATTCCAACATCCTGTTACTCACTCATGCAGTCATGGAAGTTTTCACTCACAGATCAGGTGTTCTCCATGGAGGTAGACTGGCCCAGTCCCAGACTTCAGGATAAAGGTAACAGGGGGAATAAATTCAAAGCCATCAAGACAGGTCTGTTTTAAAAATGAGATGTCAGGCTTTAGAATAAATATACGCTGAAGTTAAAATTAGATAGATAGATAGATAGATAGATAGATAGATAGATAGATAGATAGAGATCCACAAAAACCTATGGATGACGGCCATGAAAGCCTTCGACTTCACCCCAGTTTCTCTCTCCTCCCCCTTTTCTCCTTTGTCCCCATCTTACGTCCATCGGTGCAAACTGAGTTCAAAGAGCTGGCCTTCTGTAAAGCCATTCAGTGTATATATATAATTTTAAATTCAGCACCAATGGAGGAATAACAACACAATATCAATACACCATGGAGCATTTTCTTCTACAATGGTGTCCCAGGATGGGAAACGTGGACTGTACCTCCCATCTTTCCTCACCACTGACTATGTCGGGTAGGGCCAATGAGATCTGCAGTCCAGTAGTATCTTGTTGTTGTTGTTGTTGCATGCCTTCAAATCATTTCCAATGTATGGTGACACTAAAGCAACCCTATTGTGAGGTTTTCTTGGCAAGATTTGTTCAGAGGTGGTTTGTCATTGCCTTCCCTTGAGACTGGGAGCATGTGATCTGCCCATGGTCACCTAGTAGGTTTCATGGCTTTCCTGGAGATTGAACTGGTCTCCAGTGTCACAGTCCAACACTCAAAACACTACCATGTTGGCTCTTGCCAGTATCTAGAAAGCTACAAATCCCTCACTCCTAGTTTAAAACAGAGGCAGGAAATTTGGATCTCTCCAGACATACCGACTGTAATTTCCATCAGACTCACCTAACAGAGCCAATGTTCGGGAATGGCAGGAGGCCTAATTATTTTTGTCAGAGGGGGCTTTTTTCTTCTTCTTTTGTCTTTGTAAAATAATATTATTTGGTTTCTCCCAGCTTTCCATCCTAATGGGAATGAATTGATAGGGAACAGATCTCACAGTGCATTGAGTGTGTGTGTAGCCCTGAACTGTCCTTAGACAAGGAGTCAGGGAGTGGCTGACCAGTAGTGGAGGCACAATCCAGGCATGGCTGCTTCAGCCACAGATGCAGGTGAAATGTCAGGAATACACTCTTCTAGAACATGGCCTCATGGCCCGAAAAACCCACAAAAACCAATAGAAACTGGGTATTTTTAAAGCAGCTGAAAAAATGGGACAACAGAGGTTTAATTGGGACTGTCCCTGACAAATTGGAACCATTGGAGGGTATGCAGAAGTAGTCATTCAGCAGAATTTGGAAGGCCATTGAGTCCCCCTGGATTTAAACATTAACCTTCAATGTTGCCCAGATTGTGAGTTGCAGCCCAATGTTTCCAGGCTGGTTTGGTCTGCCTCTACAACTAGGAAGAAGAATTTAAGTAATTCCAAGCAGTGTTGCATTAAAGCTAACAAAGTTGGAGTGCTTTCTTAATGTCATTTATCTTCTTCCCCTGAAGTTACGTATTTCCTATGAGTTTAGCTGTAATCTTCAAAAAAGCTGGGATAGGCAGATTTCCCCAGCAGCAATATATGGTGTGAGCTATGGAAGAATCTTAGGGGGAGGCTTGATCTTGAATAGCAAGTAAGACCCATTAGCTTTACAGAAGGCAAGCTTGTGGGGGGTCTTTGAAGACAGCTAGAAGTGGTTTGTTGATATGTATCAATGTGGTTGCCCATATTATCAGACTTTCATGATGAGACATGACCACAGGACCTGTTCTGATGAATGCCTGAACTTTGAAATATACCATCCCACCACGATGGCCACAAGCTGCTGAGACTCAACGTCCAAAAATTTGTCTCCTTCATAAGAACATAAGGTGGATGATGGTGTGTGTGCATGTACATAATGCAACATGCAACTGAGATATTTCTGTCTCAGAGCTTTAGTGTAGTTCATTGCTTCACAGTATTACCATTGGCAGAACAGAGTGTCTCAGTGACACAAGGGGCACTGGCTTGAGGCTGCTGGCCATGTTTTTGGACTCCACCGCAACCACATGTGGTTTGTCATCAGCATCCTCACCCAGAGATACCTAGAAGAATGAGAGAAACAGCATCAGAAGTTGCCATTAGAGACTATAGATTTAATGAAAGCCTTTTTATAGAGCCAGGGTGGTATTAGGGTCATACAGTGTGACCAATAAGGGAACTGCTTAAAATGGCAGGAGTGGGCTTCCATCATCCCTATTGGTCATCTTGGCTGAAGGTGATGGGAGCTTGAGTTCAGCCACATTTGAAAGGCCACAGGATTCACAAAGGACTAATGATTTCAGAGGAAGCTGTGTAGAATCTGAAATCAATCCAGAATAAATAAAAAATCCATCCTGTACAAGATGATATAATGAGATGATGGTAACACCATCATGTATGTAACAGCTTACCGTTTTCAAGTACACAAGGTGTTCCAGTAAATCATCATCAACTTCCACTATACATTTCCTGATTGTGTCATTCAATTCACAGCCTGTAAGAAGCACACAGAAGCCACAGGTGTAACTTTCCAGTTGCCAATTGTTACACTGAATAGCCTACATTGCCAAAATCATTGATAGACTTTAGGTTTCACAAATTAGAAAAGAACCTATGCAAAAATCAACCAGAAAAATATTGCTGTAGAAGAAAGGAAAATCAGACATATCTACATCATGGTTAGCAGCTCATGTTGTGCTATCTGGGATATTCCCTTTCTTATCCATAGGGCAGAACTTGGGAGGGATATATTGTATCTGTCCTATAATGGTCTACTCAAGGTCCTCAAGAGTCTCAGAAAATACCAGAGTCAGTTCTGAGATCTTCAGTGTGAAAAGGTGGTGTGATCCCACCCATGTTCCACCACAACAGTGGAAAATAAAATCCTACAGCATATATGATTTTATACTCATTCAATTAAAATATTTAGTATCCAGTCCATTAGTTCCAAGCTTCTGAGCTGACTAATAATAACAGTTCTGGCACACTGACACACAAAAGGAGAACTATGAAGAGTGTCACCCAGGAAGACAACAGTAAGACATCATATGAGAAGCAGTTGCAAATGAAAGAAATCTGAAGTTGGAATCCAATACGTCAGGCATGTTGTCTGGAGCTTATAGTAGCTATGTGCTATTTAGAATCTGGGGGATTCTAGGATGACCACCAACATACTGACAATCTATGAGATAGGGGTAGGGAACCTATGGCGCTCCAGATGCTCTTGAATACCACCACCACTAGAAGTCCCAGCCTGCATGGCCAAATATTATGGAAATTATAGCCCCCAAAATCTGGAAAGCCACACATTCTCCAGCCCTGATCCAGGGACTTTCCCCAGTTGCTATAGAGAATGTGTTTTCACTTGACAACAGGACGCTGTGCGATTTCAAACAAATGAAGCAACAATATTACCCCAAAGGACTACCACTGGTTTTTCATCCGTTGAGAATGATCTTGAACTTAAAGAAAGGAAGCTCATGCCGGGTTGCAGCAATGCAAAAGAGATCTAGGATGACAAGCACAAAAAAAAAAAAACCAAATAGGATAGCAGAAAGAAGCACACATACTGTCAATGATTTCAGAATGAATTCACAAATTTCTTTTGCATAAAGATAGGTAACAATCAATATACATCCCC